CCCCCTAAAAATTTATTAAAACACCCCTTTAAAAAGAACCTTAATTTGGCCAATTTCAATAATTTTCTATTAGCACCCGCAGCATGCCACCTCTCAGGGTTCCAAACCCCATCCTCAAGGTGGGCCCTTGTGATCTTAATGGGCCAGGCCTGCGCGAGGGGTGAATCGCGCAGGGCCAATAGGACCGTCCTCGGATACATTGATTAAATCATAAGTCCGGCTGTGGGAGATCAAAAAGAAGAAAGGGGGGGAAGGGTTTTCAGTCTCGGCCACACCAAGTTCTCCATCGGCTGGAACGGGGCCAAAGCCAGGATCCTCCAGGCCATCCTCCACCGGCCAGAGACAAGGCCAGGGCCACATCATCAGTGCTTGAAGGGAGTGGAGTTTATGGAGAGGAGGAGGAGGAGGAGGAGGAGGAGGAGGAGGAGGAAGACTGTGGGGTTCTTGGTGCTCTCTGAGCTTGGTTGTTTTCTTGCAGATGTTTCATGACCCAACTAGGTAATATCATCAGTGCAACAAAGGAGTGGAGTTTGTGAAGAGGAGAAGGAAGAGGAAGACGACAATGACTGTGGTCTTGGTGCTCTCTGAGCTTGGTGATTTTCTTGCAGATGGAGGGAATGGGGTTTTTCTCTGTTTTAATACAACTGGTTTGCTCTATCAACTCAAGAACACGCCCATCAACACTGACAGGGCAAACCACCAGTATATAAATAGACAGCAAACCCCATTCCTCCTCCTCTTGCTCTTCCTCCTCCTCTTCTTCCCCCACACACCCCACTCCCATCTAGCACTGATTATGTCCCCTAGTTGGGTCATAAAACACCTGCAAGAAAACCACCAAGCTCAGAGAGAATCAAGGACCCCACAGTCATCGTCGTTGTCCTCCTCCTCCTCCTCCTCCTCCTCCTCCTCCTCCTCCTCCTTTCCACAAACCCCTCTCCCTTCTAGCACTGATGATGTTATCTAGTTGGGTCATCTACAGGAAAACAACCGAGCTCAGAGACCACTAAGGACCCCACAGTCGTCGTCGTCGTCGTCGTCCTCCTCCTCCTCCTCCTCCTCAAACCCCTCTCCCTTCTAGCACTGATGATGTTACCTAGTTGGGTCATGAGAAGTCTGCAAGAAAACAGCCAAGCTCAGAGACCACCGAAGACCCCTCAGATCTGATACTTCTTAAACTAAACAGAAGTCTTCTCTAACACAGAGCAGAATTTCATCCCAAGAGTTAAACAGGATTCATTCCTAGATGTGAATCCAAATGTTGCACCATGTCCTTTGTGTCATCACATAAAAGATGCACAATTGACAGTATCTGTATCACTTGCCTAACCATATCAGGGTACACCTGATGTCTTTGTGGCTTGTTAAGCATACATGTGATTTTAAAGAAGTGTTGATAAGAGCCGAGTCCAGGTTTCCATAGATATATAATTTCGGAGATGAGAATCAACTGGGTATTTTAATGAGAACACAAAACAGATTAGCTCTCCAACATCCCACTGCCACCATCTTACTGGTTTGCCCTTTTCAACAGCACACACTGAATTATTTTTGCAACTGAAAACATATGCTTGTGGGTGAAATCGCTCAGGCAGGCAGGAACCACAAGGTGATATTTTTCTTTCCACTGCGATTTGGAACGGAGTCCAAGTTCCTTGAAGCCCTTTCAGAAATAACACAAGTTAGGGGAAACTATCCAATAAAAGCGAACATCTGTAGCTAAGAGTTGAATTGTGGGCTTCTTGGTTCTTACTGAACTTATTTGTTGAGTTGGAGATGTTTCATTACCCAACTAGGTAATATCATCAGTACCATTATCTTCATCAGTAAACTAGTGGTGGGATTCCGCTGGTTCGCACCACTTTGGCAGAACCAGTAGCTAATTTTTTGTTGCCCAGGCCCAGAATGGACTTCCAGAAGTGGCATCCACATAGAGAACCGCTTGTTCACATATTTGAATCCCACCACTGCAGTAAACCCTAGGAAGAACGGTTGTGGGAACTTGGAACCTCTGGTCTAATGAAGAGAAGGACTAGGAGTGACATGATAGCAGTCTTGCAATACTTGAGGAAAGGGGTCACAGAGAGGAAAGGGGTCAACCTATTTTCCAAAGAACCTCAGGGCAAGACAAGAAGTAAGAGATGGAAGCTTAATGAGAGATTGAAGCTAGAAGGAAAGATACATTTTTTAATACAATTAATCAGTGGAATGGCTGCCTCCAGAAGTTATGGGTGCTCCATCATTGGAGGTTTTCAAGAAGAGATTGGACATCCATTTATCTGGAGTGGTTTAAGGTCTCCTGCTTGAGCAAGGAGTCGGATGAGAAAATCCTCCAACGTTCCTTGCAACTCTGTTATTCTGTAACTCGTTAGATGACAGTTGCACTGGTGATGTTACCTAGTTGGGTCATGAAACATCTTCACGCAACATACAAGCTCAGAGAACGCCAAGACCTCAACAGGCAAAAACTATTTCAGGTGTTGCGTTTAGTGTGCATTATTTATACAGATTGCAGAATTCTGCGGTTCCCCCTCTGATTTGATGCTGAAGCTCTTTCAGCTGGAAGCACACCCTGCCCCGTGTCTGGAAGAGAGAAGGGGGAAGGAATGAGGGGTGGCGCATGAAGGTCATCACCTGGACAGACTGCAGAATTGTTGCATTGGCGTTGTTCGCGGAGGGGCCCACTGCATTGGGTGCTGTACGAATACGACACACAGAACCGAGTCCTAGTCTGCCAGCCCTCCCCACAGGTGGTCGAACAGACGCTCCAGGGCGACCACTCTTCCGCCGCTGGATCACCTGTCAAGGTGTAGAACACAGGAAACTACCTTATCCTGAGGTTGACCACCCATTTTTTTTTTGCATTAGAGAGAGGTGGAAACGGGTCAAGAGGGACATGGCATGGATTCTCCAAGTTGTGCTCTCTCTTGGGGAGCCAACATTTCTTCTTTAACCTTAGGTGGGACCATGGGAACAGGGAGCATGTCCTTGCTTGAGATGTCAAGGTCAAAAGTAGGCAATTATACAAGCTATATAAATAATGCAGGTACTCAATGGGAATGTATTAAGCGAGAATTCCATTGCAGGTAAGTCCTTAAGAAACAACTGCAATGGGGTCTACCCATTGCAGTCGTTATGTCGTAATAATAACTGTCACCTAAATGACCTGATTTTACGACCTTTTTTTGCAGTGTTGTTAAGTAAATCCACAGTTATTAAGTGAACCAACAGCTTGCTATGGACACAGTTTTGCCCCAAACTGAAATAAATACTGATTTTCAGCAATGTTTCATAAAACGTAACTGCAAACGAGCATAAACACAGCCACATTGCTGAGCAGGTTTGGCTTCTCAATTCAGAACGGAAGAACCTTCTTGGAGGAGAAGCGAAACCTCTTCAAAGAAAAACAAAGAAAGTCCAGCTGCCTCTTGAAAAAAACACTTTGGGGGCATCCCGAGATTAAAACGAAGTAAGAATGCTGCATGGGGTTAAACCAGTCATCCTGTCTTTATCTGGGTTAATTAAGTGTGCTCATTGATCTAATGCAGCACGTTTGAGCTGCAAAGTTCTGCATTTCTGCTAGATGGCAGCCAAGAGTTTTCTTTACTGGCTAGCTGAGGAATTCTGGGAATTGAAGCTCACAAGTTGCCAGGTTTGGAGACCCTGGTTTATGCAGTCACAAAGTCCCATCCCCCTTGGTTACCATTGACTGTCATCTAGCTTAGAGGTCCTCAACCTTTTGGGCACCAGGGACCGGTTCCATGGAGAGAGGTTTTTCCATGGCCCGGAGGGGGCGTGGTTTTGTGTGTTGCCTGCATCCTGTGGATGGGGCTTTGCTTGTTTGTGCAGACTGGTTGCTGGCATGCCGCAACCCGGTACTGGTCCATAGACCGGGGATTGGGGAGCCCTGATCTAGCTCTAACCAGATGCTGACCCTTATATGAGAAGGTTCCTGTGCATAGTGTAGCAATACATCTGTTAATTTGAAACCTTCATGTATGGACCTGATTTTTGCTCCTGACAATGCAGTGCAAGTAGCCCCCTATATATGCAACCTACGACCAAAATTTATGTTGCTAAGTGAAGAAAAGTCTAGTGTCTCCTGCTTGAGCAGGCGGTTGGGCTAGAAGACTTCCAAGGTCCCTTCCAGCTCTATTCTGATGGATTGATTGAAATTTGTTAAATGAGTTTTGCCCCGTTTTACGTCTTTCCTTGACAAATTTGGTAACTGAACAATTGTAGCTGTGAAATTAGCAACTCGGTTGAGAAGGAAATCTGGTTTTCCCCCTTGAGTCTGCTTGTCAGAAGGTCGCAAAAGGGGATTGCCCGATCCCAGAGACACTGCAGCGTGACTCACGTCATAAACACGAGTGACTTATGACCCTCTTTCACACTTACGACCATTGTAGCCTCCCCGCGGTCACGTGACTTATATTCGAATGCTTGACAACCGACTCGCACCATAAACATGAGTCAGTTGTCAAGCATTTGAATATAAATCACGTGACCGCGGGGAGGCTGCAACGGTCGTAAGTGTGAAAGAGGGTCTTAAGTCCCTTTTTTTTCAGTGCCGTTGTAAATTTGAACAGTCTCTAAATGAACTGTTATAAGCGGAGGACTCTCCTGGTACTAGCAACTGCCCATGAGCAATTGCTATGTAGTCAACTGCCAAACTGAGAATACTACAGAACACTTATTGTGCTATCAGTAGAAGAGCATATTTGTAGCTCAGGGCTGAACTGTGGGATCCTTGGTGCCCTCTGAGCTTGGTTCTTTTCGTGCAGATGTTTCATGACCCAACTAGGTACCATCATCCATGCGGATGCTGTCACCTAGTTGGGTAATGAAATGTCTACAAAGGAAACAACCAAACTCAAAAAGCACCAAGGACTGCACACTTACATTGCTATTCATGCCCAACTGGTTTGCTTAACTGATGGATCCGAATCTTGAGCAAATCCCCCCCCATGGGTGAATTTTATAACCAGGTTAAGGATGTTAGTCTAAGACAGACCAATAATGGCTTACAAGTGAATATCTGGAAGCCAAACGGCCTCTCAATGTTTAATCTTCCCTCTTTGTTTCTTCTGCCCTAATGAAAATAAAATCAGGCTAATTTGACAATCCTTTTTCAATTTTACTTGTTTTTTTGTAAGTAAAAACCCAGATCTTCAATAAGAATAAGAAATCTTTTAGTCCTCAAATTTTAGAAAGATAAAAATCCAGTTAGAATCGAGTTATTCTTTCAGCGTTTTAAACTCCCCTGGATAGCCAGTCGCTGCTGTTTTTAGAGGGCGGGGTAGAATTTCCCTTCCCTCTCTCCACAGGGGAAAAAATAATTTGGGCAGCTTATACAGGTGGAAAAAATATTTAGGATTGAAGAGAGGTCCAGATCTCACCCAGTCTCATCTGCGCTGCTTTATAGGTGCCTGGTGGTAAGTTTGACTTCGGCTGTCTGCAGCCTAGTGACGGGCCATATTTCTATGGCCAATCTTTCATCTGCCGGTTTGGAGGGCTGCCCTGGATTGAGCAGAAGGGCTGCCGACCTACTGCGATCAAGCGGGGATCCCCTCCTTGCTTGTCGCCCCTACAGGGTGACTTTCGACCCTTTCGAGGGTCCCCCAGCAGTGCGAAATCGGACGTGGAAGACGGAGCTTGCCTTCCAATGTCCGCAGCAGCCGCGGCGGCAAACTGGAAGGCTAATTTGAGCCTTCACATATGGAACTGTTGGTCTTTTACATTGCCTTCATTTTCTAACATTTGGGCTACGTACCTATCTGTGGCGCAGGATAGCCGTATTTCTGAAAGTCTTCTATGTCATCTCTTTTCCGGTTATCTGTCGACCGTAGAGACTGACTCCGGGAGTTATAGTGCACATTAGCTAGAAGAAAAAGGGAAAAAAAGAAAAAGGGGGGAAAAAAGAGAAGAATCTAGATGAACACCCTTGCGAGAATCCTCTTCTCCAAACTTTTGTTTCAAGGGCAGAACAAGAAAGGAACATTTCACACTACTAGAAGACGGGGCTCTCTTTGTTAAGGTGAGGCTGAATGTAAGGTCTGCACCTACTTCAGAAAGGAAGATCAGAGGCAAACAATAAAGGCTCCATTACATGTTCCCATGCCTGATTTAAGGTGACCTAAACCCCCATTATGAAGAGGACTTATTGAAGGAGACATGCCTGCTTTTCTTTTCAGATAAATGCAGTGAGAAAGCGGGACTCAAATAATCCACATGCTGACTTTAAAAAAAAAGGCCATGTATATCTCATTAGAATTGAAAATGGGGGCACTGAAGTGCGGATAGCTTTAGATTCAACCATTAACATTACAGAATATAGAACATAGAATAATCAGGTTGAAAGGACCTTGCAGGTCTTCTAGTCCCACCCCCTCCAGTGATGGAACACCCACAATTTCTGGAGGCAAGCCACTCCACTGATTAATTGTTCCCACTGTAAGAAACGTTATCCTGGGGACAACAAACCAACCACTTGATGGGCTCCATATCACTCTGAAGTCCTCAGGCCCACCTGGCAAAACCAGGTCTTCAGGGCCTTTCCAAAGAGTGTCAAATTGGGGGTCAATCCTTAATCTCTACCCAGACCAACACCAAGGATACTGTTCCACAGACAATGTCACCTACAAAATCAACTGTACCCATTGCAACCAAGTCTACCTTGGACATACATCACGTCAATTAAAAACCAGGATCCACGAAAAGCGGCTGGCAGTCAAATGCCACAATTCCAAATCCTTAATCTCTACCCACACCAACACCAAGGATGCTGTTCCACAGACAGGGAGCCACTCACAGAAAAGATGTTTCTTCTGGAATTATCCAGGACCAAAGACAAGATACAGAAGGACGAAAGAAACAATGTCACCTACAAAATAAAACTGTTAATGATTGCAACCAATTCTATACTGGACATACATCACATCAATTGAAAACCAGGATCCATGAACACCGGCTGGCAGTCAAATGCCACCATCTCAAATCCTTAATCTCTACCCACACCAACACCCAACAACACCAGTTTGATTGGAGCAACTCGAAAATCATTGGCCACCCAGGCTCGTGAGTTCCTAGAACAGTGGTTCTCAACCTTTTTAATGCCGTGACCCCCAACCGGTCGTAAGTCGAGGACTAAACCGGTCATAAGTTGAGGACTAAACCGGTCGTAAGTCGAGGACTACCCAACCGGTCGTAAGTCGAAGACTTTCCCTGCCCGGGAGTGCCACACATGCGTGGTTCTGCCCCCTGCGCCGGCCGAGGCGTAGCTGGCAAGCGGCAGAGACGGAGCAGGCCGACCACCAGCTGGCCCAGCCCAAGGGAGGTAAGGCACCCGCCGGAAAAGGGGGAAAAAATGGCGGACAGCCTTGCTTGGTGACCCCCGTGAAATGGTCGATCGACCCCAAATGGGGTCGCGACCCATAGGTTGAGAACCACTGTCCTAGAATACTGGCACTCCACAAGCAATTCCATCAACAGACACTTTGACCTACAATCAGCCTACAAACCCCTCAGGGTCCAAATCAACCACATAGCCAGCCAGAGACAACACCGGCCCTCAACCATCCCGTGCAGGCCCCCCTCCCACCAGCACTTCGCCTCCCAACAACCCAGACCCTCCCCATCACAAGACCCATCACAAGCTTCTCACTGATGATTCACACCTGACCCATCACAGGACCCTCACTTGATACACCCACACCTGAAGCCCTTATAAACAGAAGAACACCAACACAGACATCTCCTAAACCAGACATGTCAAACACAAGGCCCGGGGGCCGGATGCGGCCTGCAAAGTGGTTTCATGTGGCCCACGAAGCCATCCTGAAAACAGTGAGGGAACGGCCCCCGCTGCCTTGGCCCTGGCCCAGGCCAGCCAGGAGCCAATGTACAATTTTGTGGTGGCTATCTTGGCACTTGCCCCGGTGGACCATGCCTTGGCACTTTCCCCGGTCCCACCCCCTTCTGCCAGAGACCCTCAGATGTCCCACTCCTGCCCAGGCCCCCATAGGCACCCTTGACGCGAATGATGTAGAACTGGCCACGCCCACCCAGTAGGCCAAACCCACTCTGGCCATACCCCCCCGCCCCAGGGCAACCGCAATGCTGATGTGGCCCTCAGTGAAATTGAGTTTGACACCCCTGTCCTAAACTCTAATGAAGATGTTATCTAGCCTGGTAATGAAACATTTGGAAACCAACCCACAAGCTCGGAGAACGAACCTTCACCTTCAAAATCCTTCTTCTTGGTCCCACCAGATGGACCTCTTTAATAGAGATGACCTGGAACCTGCCCTACCTCTGTGGTTCAGTGGATCAGGTAAATACAACTCCCAGCTCCGGTGGATCAGGTAGATACAACTGGGAAAAGATGGTCCTTCAAATACAACTGGGAAAAGATGGCCCCAGGTTATCAGCCACCCAAAATATTTCTGTAGGCTTTTTCGTCTGCTTACTAAAGTTGTCTGGCCTTTTAAAACCCTGCAGAATTTGGAACGGAAAGGTTTATATCCCTTGCAGTCATCTGGTCGTTAGTACTCTCTCTGAGGATCGTTGAGGCCACTTGGAGGTTCATCTATATGCCCTCAGGGTCACCTCAATAGTGCAAATGGGTGTGGAGCCTGCTTGGAAGTGCTGACCAGTGTTTCACTCTCATTTGCACTACTTGGGTGATCCTGAAGGCACAGAAGGAACCTCTTAAGTGTCCTCAATGACTCTCAGAAAGAGTGCAAATGACAAGATGACGGCAAGGGATTAAAAATCCTTCCATCCTCCACCATTCAGTCAGAACTGAAGAAGCTTCTTGGATGAGAAGCAAAATGTCTTCAAAGAAAAAAAACAAGTCCAGTTGCCTTTTGAAAAAGCACTTTGGGGACAACCATGATCTGGATGACTGAGAATCTCCATAGATTTCTAGAGAAAGCTTCACCCCCTCTTCCTGTTTTTAAGAAGTTTCATCTCTGCAAAATAAATACAAAGAGAATCTGAATACAAACTGAAGAACATCAGAGAGAGTTTGCAGTTGGACTGCTGCTACTTCTAAGCATGCACAGAGTGCATTTTATTCCGAGAAGAGCGGTAATCTCAGCAATATTGAAAATGAAATTCAATGGTGAAAAAAGCAAGGTTCTACATTTAGGCAAGAAAAACCAAATGCACAAGTACAGCATAGGTGGCACCTTGCTCAATAGTAGTAACTGTGAGAGGGACCTCGGAGTCCTAGTGGACAATCACCTAAATATGAGCCAGCCGTGTGCTGCAGCTGCCAAAAAGGCCAACACAGTGCTAGGCTGCATTAACAGAGGGAGAGAATCAAGATCACGTGAAGTATTAATACCACTTTACAAGGCCTTGGTAAGGCCACACTTGGAATACTGCATCCAGTTTTGGTCACCACGATGTAAAAAAGTGGTTGAGACTCTAGAAAGAGTACAGAGAAGAGCAACAAAGATGATTAGGGGACTGGAGGCTAAAGCATATAAGGAACGGCTGTTGGAATTGGGTATGTCTAGTTTAATGAAGAGAAGGACGAGGGGGGACATGATAGCAGTGTTCCAATATCTCAGGGGTTGCCATAAAGAAGAGGGAGTCAAGCTATTCTCCAAAGCGCCTGAAGGCAGNCCTGACAGTGAGAACAATTAACCAGTGGAACAACCTGCCTCCAGAAGCGGTGAATGCTCCAACACTGGAAGTTTTTAAGAAGAGACTGGACAGCCATTTGTCTGAAATGGTATAGGGTTTCCTGCCTGAGCAGGGGGTTGGACTAGATGACCTTCAAGGTCCCTTCCAACTTTACTATTATTATTATTATTATTATATCGGAGAACAAAACCTAACAGCGAGCAACTTTAGTTTAGGATGCAGCTGTTCCTAAAATATAATCAAATTTTGATTCCAAAATAGGATTTTCGGCAGCACTTTCGGCTGCAGAGGAAGTAATCGGTGAGAAAAAGCACAATTAATTCCTAATGCATTCAATTTTTATGAATAGCAATTTTTTTTTGCCTCCCTCAAAATTAATACAACATATCATTAAACCAAAGACAGCAAAATTGGGACAATTGCTGCTCCGCTGAGTAAGAACTATTGCCACGGCTCACGAGACAGCAGGAAAATAAACAATTTTGATACCATGATACAATTAAAACAAGCACAAAAAACCATCAACATTTTGTTTTCAGGATTTAAAATGTTCTCATAAACAATCTGTACAGTCGAGACGCAGATTCTTCCGAGCAATCGTGGAAATTCCCCCGTGAAATGTTGAGAAATATTTATTTGCTTCCTCTTCTGCTCCAAATGTGGGCTTTCGTTTCTTCGAAACAAAGCTGGCGGCTTTGTAATTAAGAAGCTCAGGATTCAAATTAGTTTGTGAAGAAGCTTCTTCTCATGAGCCCCACATCCCCACCTGCTTTTTTTCTTTCTTTTTTTCCTCTGCCTCGTTTCCCTCTGATCTGAAGGTCTTCAAGATTTGGTGGTGGTGTTTTCAAGCTTGCTAAATCTGTTTTCCGAAATGGCAAAAACAGATAGACTGGAACCATTGCAATTATATTTTTTTGTATTTCAGACCTGTGACCTGCTTTCAGATTGGGAGGACAATCTATTTTGTGAACTTCATCAGGAGAAAAAGGACTAGGAAGGGTGACATGATAGCAGTCTTCCAATATTTGAGGGGCTGCCACAGAGAAGAGGGGGGGGGGGTCGAGCTATTCTCCAAAGCACCTGAAGGCAGGACAAGAAGCAACAGATGGAAACTAATGGAGGAGAGAAGCAACCTGAAACTAAGGAGAAATTTCCTGACAGCGAGAACAAATTAATCAGTGGAACAGCTTGCTTCCAGAAGTTGGGGTGCTCCATCATGGGAGGTTT